GCAGTAGAAAAGTCAATGTTATTAGAGTAAATTTAGCATATATTGATAAAATTGTGTTTTCCTGTGTGGAAACATGTCTACAACTTGAGTTTGAACAGAGAAATAAAATGAGTTTTCTTTGCATCCCTAAATTTACCTGTAGCATAAATCTAGAAAGATTGATTTGAAACATTAAGATCAGGATTTAGTCTGCCATTTTTCAGAGAGTGGAAGTCAGGGCTCTCAGATCCTTCATACTTATACTTGCAACCATAGCGAGGCAGTTTTGGCTCCTGGTTTGTCCTTTACAGATGTGAAAGTAAATACACTCCTCTTTATATCATTATCTACAGCTAACAAAACAAGCCCGTATTACTTGTACACTTTCAGAAATAAATTATTTTGTATGATTTCTTATACAGAAAGAAATCTATGATCTCAGCACCATAGATTAACCTCAGCCTCAGCAATGAGGTCTTTATGTTAAAGTAGGACATCATGGGCTTATTCCGATATTCTATCAGGTTTGTTTGGACCAGAAAATTAAAGTAGGAATGAAAGAAACCTTTGAGCTTTGGTGTTATTTTGAGTGTTTTATGTTGTTCTTTTAAACAGTAAAGTATTATTTTATGAAAATAATTAAAATTGTACATAAACTTAAGCTATGTATGTAATGAATAGTTAGCTTAGCATTCAGGTAGAAATAAATAGAAATCTCTTTTTTTTAAGTCTCCATATTTTAGGTATTTATTACTACATGCTTGCATAATTTACACATACAATGATAAAGAAAATGAGAATTGTGATATAAACACCTTTGTCCATACACATGTGCACAGAATTTGAAAACTCACTGTTTTGAGTTGTGGCTGCTAGCTAACAAATTAAACAGCAGAAACCTGCAAATACCACTAGGTCAAATTTCTTGTTAACTGTCCTTTCAGTAAAAGCTGCTGACTTTCTGATGTCTTCGGAGTTGTCAAAAGACATTATCACAAAGCAAGCTTAGTTTTTGTAACACTTTTTGTCTATGAAGAATCGGAGAGGGAGCTTTATGCCTACGGCTTAAAAATAAGGCATGTAGTGATTGCAAACATTTATCTTATTCAAAGCTGTATTGAGATAAATAAAGGTTTTGTACACATGGAAAAAATATGCAATCCACAGTATTCCCAGCAGATTGAATGTAAATGAAATTCTTTCCCAGTCCTGCATACCTCAATATTAATATTCTATTATTTTAGAAAACATATACACATACATAAGAACATGAAGCATGCAGATGCAGTTAAATAGATATGTGGTAGAACACAAAAAGCACAGGTATATTTTCACATAGCCAGAGTTGTTGATTTTACATTAGAAAAACTATAACTATAAAGTCGTAACACACATGCCAGTATGTTTACATAGCACATACATGAAAATGCAATCTTAAAGCATATTTTTTACGAACAGTATTTTCAGTTTTATAAAAATCTTCTGTATACATGAACTAAGAGCGTTCCTACACAGAGTCTGTACTGACTTATGGACACTGGATAGATACAAATTATATGTCACTTACATAAGCCAGTGGTAAATGGAGACGCTCAGGATTTCATTGCTGAGCTTTTGCAGCAGTGGTATGCATTAATAGAGCCCAACCTCACTGCACTGCTCTTTGCATCCTTCAGCAAACCCAGAGCACTGTCTCCACATTTGCTTTTGCACGATCTCAGCCCAAACCCTGGAAGACCTCTGGATCCACACCCCTACTATACTGATGTTCTCATGAAATCCTATCAAGGAAATAAGCGTTAGGGCCCTGGCTGTTTGGCTGCATAAAGCCTCTTTTCAGCAGTAACCTTAAAGAAAAGAGCGTCTATGCTACAAGCGTAAAGCGTGCACCTGACTGAAGAAGAGGTTCTTAGCGGTCAACATCTGAGTTCTAAGGGCATAACATGTATAAGGAGATATTTGAAAACAATTAAAGTATCAAAACTGCTATGAAAAGACACACAAAATATAAATTAAGTTTATTAAATAATCTTTTTGAATTTAAAAGGGCCTAGACAGAAGTTACTGTTCAGCAACTCAAATATCAGATAAAGACAAAAATTAAACTTATCTGACTGTTTCGTCCTAGCAGAAATAAGTAATTTCAAAATGGGTCAAAACAATGATTTTGGGCCAATGTGAATCACAACAAATGTATAAACTTCTCAGAGGAAACTGAAAAATGAAACACAGTAAAGCTTACTGTTTCAGAAAAGATCTTGATCATTCCAAACCACTCTACTTTATTTGAAAAATAAATCTATCCAAAGTGTTTCAAATGTGTAGATAAAATTAAAATGATAATAGTTTCTGTAACTTTTGAGACTTCTAAGAGTTTCATAAGCTATCATAAATTAAGACAGCCATTCCCTAATACCACAGGCATGATTAGGTACACCAAGAAAAAGTGTCCTTTTGCAGGAATTAAAGAGCATGCCTACAGTCACAAAGTAAGTCAGACACAGCCATTAACTGAAACCAAGTCTTCAGAATAACAGTGTAGTCTGTGATCAGTTTGATCTTCTTCTGTGTGAAGTTTGATCTTCTTAGACATAACAAATCACAGCCACCTCTGCCACTGACTTCTTTTTTAATTTAATAAAACTAAATTAACAGTATGTGCTATTCTTGGATGTCATCTATGGACACAGATTTGATACAGATGCTCCTAATATTCTTCCTTCCCGTTATGTTTCATCTGTATGAATCACTGCCTGCGTAGATACCATCTGTCCTTTGTTCTCTGTTGCCAGAATGGGCCACTTCAGAAAGAAAAAAAGGAAATCAGTGTCAGAATTTCCTGAACAACACACATTCTCAGCCTATGGCAACACAGCTACTTAAATATTGGAATGCAATCACTTTTTAGACTCCCCTCTATTCAAAATAGTTTGGGTTTATTAAGCCTTTTAATGTAAGACTCCTTTTCCAGAACTCCTATATTTTTCTGGCTCTTTTTGAATACCTTTTCAGTGTGTTGACACAGGGGAATTGCAGACCCTGCAACTTGATGCAAGTATTTCAACTGTTCTCTCACAAGCACTCTATACAACAGTAGCAGCATCTAACTGTATCTTCCAGTTAGGGTCCTGTTTATACATCAAAGAATCCCATCTGCCTCATGACCTCAGGTTTGCTCTGGGAGTTCCGTGTTGGGTTGGTTATTTATGACAATATTTTCAGAAACATTTATTTCTAGAAGGCCAATATATAAGCATGAATTTCTATTAGCAAGTGAGACATTGCTTTGTAAAATGGATCCATTCCTATCATTTACTATTCCAATTTCTGTCATTTTCAAATTCTAAGTGTTTTTTCTCCCTACCCTTGTTGAGAACAAAAGGTTTAGCTATGTATTTTTGTAGTTTACCTCTTTGATATTTCTGTCTGCCTACAAAGAATCCAGACAAAAAAAGGGGTTTTTAGAGCCGGAAAAAAATAAAGCAGTAACAAAGATAAACATCCACAACAGAGAATATCAAGGACTCTTGAAAGATCAGTGCAGAGGCTCTTAATCAGGAAATCATATATATGTCCAACCACATTAATATATATATTCTCAAAAGGCCAGAGCCTAGCAAAGAGACATTAAATTGTTAGAGGATGGATGCTCTCCAGAGTTGCACAGGATGGCAACAGAAAAAGAGAGCAGTCTAATCCAAGCTAGACGATGTACTAAATTAGGCTGTGAATTTCTTCTGGCAGGGACTATTGCTCTGTATTCACCCAGTCAGACCATGAGTGCATAACTATGGTTTGCAGAGGCTTATGTCTGCAGTCACAGAAATGACTGACCAGCTCCAGTGGATGCCTTCCCCTTTCACTCTGCTGGGTCACTCCATGGCCTGTGAGAACTATGTTGCTCTTTCCCCTAAAACCTGAAGAAGAAATTGCGCAGTCAAGGGCTTACCTAATTTAGTAACAAATATCTTAAGATACTTCTCCCCACCAAATACTGTTGTGAGAAAATGATAATTATTCCATCGCAGACCAGTACTTATCCAGGGGCCACCAAGGCTAGATCTACTTATGCACAGCAGGCTGCAGTATCACTGGAGCCCTCCCAGTGAGGAGAGAGGCTCTAGCCTAGCGCCCAGCTGACACCCGCTGCTTTTCCAGCGCTCTCCGCGAGGAAAGGTGCAGGCGGCTGGGGGGCGCGCCCCAAGCCTTGCCACGGCGGGGCGACCCTGCCTCAGGCCGGTCTCCCCTTCCCCTCACTG